AAGCAGAGTGAATGCACATTTTCCCTTTTAATCTGACTCCTGAAAATGATTCTCCTCAGGTGCATTTCACCTATGCACAAAGGGCTCATGAAAAGCCTAAGCACCATATTAAGTCTTTGCAAGAACCAACACTACAACAAACTTGTTAAACTGTGAGCCTATGCATGTCAGCATGTTGGCTGTGTCTTGCAATCATTCAGTTCCAGCTTTCCCATTTGGTCCTGACTCCAGACCAGTGCACTCAGACCACAGCCACCATATGATCGTGGGTTTTTTCAAACCACATTTACAGTTTCCCTGATGTCTATTTTAAATCTTATGAATGATGCCTGGATTCCCAGGCAATGAAGGCATAAATCCTCTCACCAGGTTTTCAGCATTATTGGCTCTGAATGAGCTAAGGTGAGGGATGTGTCGTCTTTTCTTGTTTTGTGGACATTGTCTGCATCTCAGCTGTAACCCAGATTCATGAAAATACTCCAGATGTCACCAGCCCTCAAGTTCTGTATTGCCAAGAATGGAATCTGCTTTCCATGTGTTCAAAAGCTATTTAGCCAAAAAATTATAAGATCCTTTGAAAAAAAAAACACTTCAGTACAAGAACATGTCTTTAATAGGAGTCCACACAGGTCTCAGGTTTCATAAGGCAACAGCAACTTGTTCGTTGACATTTTTGCATATGCAAATAGCTGCCCATCAAATATTGGGTCTGCCATGACATACTGGCAGTTTTTGAAAGATAGTTCAGAATGGGCTAATAGATGGTGAAATTTCACCTATTCCAGTTAGTGAGATATGACTTATGGAGGGATCCCAGGAATAAGCTACAAATACTACCTTAAAAAATGCAGTACATAACCTAAAATGTGAAGAGTCTCAAAGCAGAGAAACAATCCAACCCAAGACTCTCATTTCTGAATGAACTGGCAAAAGAATCAATGTCAAGCTGGTAGACATTAGTGCTATTGGGGCTATTGGGGCTAGCCCCACACACTGCAGACGTGCAGATAGGGACTTGGGCAGGAGTTGTATGTTATGGGGCTGGGTGGGGCTGCCACCACCTGTGGCCAGGGACCGGGGTCAGAGCATGGGAGCTGCATGCTATGGGGTTGGGTGGGTCTGGCCCTGCACCCTGCCACCATGTGCAGCCGGGGACTTGGGCAGGAGAGCTATTGGGTGCGGTGGGGCAAGCCCTGCATGCTGCTGCCACTTGCAGCTAGGGACTGGGCTGGGGGCGCGGGGAGCTATGGGCTGTGGGGCTGGGTGCATAAGGACTCAGGGCACATGCAGCTTCAGGGATCCACACACTCCAGGGACCACGGGCAACTGGTACCACCTTTGTCAGGGGGGGAACATACCTCCCCAGCGACCAGTCAGTGACTGGAGGGGGGTCCCCTGTGGCCAATCTCACCAACCGGTCAATCTCGCCGACTGGAGGGTGGTGGGGGAGGGGGGAGTCCCTCACAGCTGATTTCACTGAGTGGGAAGTGGCCACATTGCTCCCAGAAGTGGCTGTGGCGCTCCCACCTGCTCCCCCTGCCCTTCACCTAAGCAGGGAGTGCAGCCTGTCACAGGGTGCACCAGCGATCTCAGGGGGTGCATGTGCACCCCGTGCACCCCTTATGTTTCGCCACGGCCAGGGACTCTGAGGACTCTCCCACCCCCAACACATACACACACACACCTTCCCACACACCTCATCCCATCCAGATACCCCACATCCACACCCTTCCACACCCACCCACCATACCCACATTGAACTACACACAATATACAAGAGTAAGACTGTAGTTTGAGTTATCATGCAATCACCTCAAGATACACTATGCAAACACATAAATCAGGACAAAAATATTTTTTTAAATAAAATTAAAATAAGTTATAGTGTGTTTGATTTTTTTACTATACGATTTGTTGTTTTTTTTCCAGTGTCAAGATGGCAAACCTCCACCCCCAAAAGGAATACTACTGGGGCAATGGGAGGGACTTCTGGCAGCAAAGGTCAGGGGTTAGGGGCCAGGACTTCTGGTCCCAAGCTGGTGCCCAGGGCGTGGGGGCACTTGTCAAGGGGAAGGGCTACCCTTGCAGCCCTCGACAATTCCCCAAAACTCATTAAGCGGCCCTCCAGCCAAAATAATTGCGCACCCCTGTATTAGTAGAGTTCGCTTCCTCAGAGAACTCTACTAATGTTTTCATGTAGCACCACTCGTGTTAAAGGATCTTTACTGAACAACACAATGACAGGTTCTCTGTCTCTGGAAGAGCAGATAATCTAAATGTAGAAGACACAAGCAACAGAGTGGGGATGGGATACGATATAGAAGGGAAAAGATCGATTTGTTGTTTTTGGAATCAGCCAGTTTGTTCCAAGCTGTTGGGGTAGAGATAAAATGATGATTTCGTTTGTTACCAGCAGTTCTAACCCACTTTCTTGCTTTAGACAGCATAACCAAAAAATCACCCGCCACTTCCAATGGCAATTAAGCCTAGTTTGTATTGTCTGCTTGGTGCATCTCACAGATCTTCAGCTATTATTACTGGTATCACAAAGTACAAGGAAGACCCATTGAAACTCAGGACCTTGTACCCACAAAAAATAAGAGACAGTCATTACCCTGATGAGTTTACATATAAGACAGACAAGGGGTGGGGAAAGGATGCATTATTATACCCATGTTACAAGTAGAGAACTGAGGCCCAGATAAGCTAAGGGCTAAATCCTATTTCACCTTCACTTAAGTGGCATAGCTGGGTTAGTGTAACTTTTGGCCCTTATGCACAGGGTGGTTTCTATTTGTGCTTGGTAGTTATTCTTGCACTGCGCTTCTCTTCTGCAAATGCTTGCTCTTCTGCACTCCGTCCACATAGGCTCCAAGGCAGGATAGAATTGCCTGAGCGCACACATAATATTGTGTAAGTCTGAAAACTTCTGTCACAGAAAAACCATGACTAGCAAATAGTTGATGTTGTAGGTTCTGCACCTAAAGGCTTCCCTTCACCTTATATTTAATATGCATTGGCTAAAACAGCTTAGGGATAGCTTCTGTCCTACCCAGGGCAGAATCCAGGACAATAAACAAGAGACCTTTCCCTTCTGGGGAGGTGTTTCTCTTACCCTGTCTGGCTTACTTCACATCCTCCTGGTGGTCCCAAGTAACTTCGCCTCCTGGAAGCCCAGTGGGGCAGCTTCAAGAAGAGAGCTGGTATATTCTGAGTACTGCCTAGTGCAAGATTTTGTGGTTCAAGCACTTGGCTGAGACATGGGAGAAAAAAGTGCAAACTCACTCTGGCTGGGGAGGGCCTACATCCTGGATCTCCTCCTTCCTGGGCAAGCACCCTAAATGTAGGCTGAAAAGGGGGAAGGGCTGGCCTCTGTTTTACTTTGAGCAGATGCATGAACAATCCTATTCTACCACAGATGGAAACAGAATCCAAATTGTGCATAAGCTTCAAAAATTGTGGTTACAGAGCTATATAGACACTACTTAGGAATGTAAAGGTGAGACTGGATTTAGCCCTAAGTGACTTGCTTAAAGTCGCACTGGAATTCTGTGGCAGAACTGAAATAAGAAGAGTTTCGAGCATTCACCACAAGAGCTTACTTCCAGTCATGAGGGACTGCAGCATTTTGTGGTCTATCAGGGAGGTGATAAGGACACTTCACATGATTTCTTCTTTGCTGAGTGGTATGATAAAGGCAATATATGCCATCACCTTTCTCACAAGTTCTCTCTTTCGTGATTCATTTTAGAACCCAAAACCTTGGCAGGTGGGATCAGGTGAGTCTACTGTCAAAGCTACTTGATCTGTAGCCTGTTGGTGATGTGATTCATTTTGGTATACGTGTCTGGAACAATACGACAAGGAGGGTATTACGTCTTGTCTATTGGGATGCTTGTCTTTCTCTAGAAACATCATTTTACTTTGGGTACCACTATCCCTGGATAGCAAGAGGATCATTATAATTAAATAATGAAGTACCTGTGAATGTTATATTTCCTAGCAATCACTTGCTTTTTAATCCTGACAATGTAGCAGGGTCCTGAGGAATGTGTGCTGGAGGGGATGGCAGGTAGGAGATGGAAATGTGATGGACATATACTATATTCTGGTGCTGTGTAGATATCAGTACTTTCCTTGAGGCAATTTGCAGAGTGGCTTTGGCACAGCTCATGAGAGGGATATGTTCGGACTATTCCCCACCTACACTTCTTTCTAGGAAAAAGGTGGAGACAGCTCCCCTGTTAACATCCTTCTGACTACAATTGCCATACAGGCAGAGAATCCATTCAATTAACACAAACTGAATTAAAAAACAAAGAAAACAAAACAATCCCCCTTTGAATAAAAGACGAAAAAAGTCTCTTTACCAGGAAAACAAGAGTCTTCTTTTCAGAGAACACAATGAGAGATGCAGCAGGGATTATCCTTTGCCACTGGCAACAAAATCTTCATATCAGCAAATCTGCCTGAAACAAGAGTCAACAAAAGTTGTTCATAAAACCTTGGATAAAAAAAAAATCAGGTTTATTTTGTTAACTTATGATTGGTCCTTAAATCAACTGCAATCAGTGAAGTTCTCTCTTCCTTTTATTTCCTGTTATAGTCCCTGGAATTTGGCATCTGTTGCATTCTGGATCTGGTTTAGGGCTTTTTCCAAATCCAAGACTTGGGGAATTTTGTTAGCAGTGCAATAAAAATAACTTCATAGTGTTACAGGGAAACATTAAAGCCTTTTTGTGTGCTGCTCTTTTCCTTTTAAAAAAAAATACAGACAATGTTTCTTTAAAAGTCTCCATCTGCAAATCCCATTAGATGTGCATATAAGGTTTCGGATGATTAATAGTTGCCTGCTTTGCTTTGGTTGGAGGGGCTGAGTGTATGCAAGTTAACCCCTCCCTCCTCTCTCTCACATTTCACTTCACAAACTTGTTGCCCACTCCCCAGCACAGTATTTAAAAAGTGTTTCACCCATGTCCAGCATTTCACAGGGAGGCAACTCCAGGCCCTGGGAAACAATTCAGGCCAATTGCAGTATAGAATTGATTAATGTTTTCCAGCTACAACAATGAAGATGTTTAGTGGAGATCCCAAACTAACAAATTTGCTACCGAGCAAACCCACATGCTAGCTGTATTTTAGCAGGGGTGGAAATCCAATTCTGGGGGGGGGTGGGTTTCATAAAGGTTCAAAGTTGTTTTTTCCCTTCTCTCGTGTTCTTGAAGACTGAGACAACCCCAGCTACAACCTCTGGAGCGTGGACAGAGATAGAGCTGGCAAATGGATCCTTCCATGAGCAGCTGCATGCGGAGTCCCCGTCCCAATGCCCCACTTTGGGGGTGTCTACGGAACGGCACCACGGAGGTCAGCACTGCATCCGGGCTGAATCATTACCCTCAAGCACCCTTCTCATTCCATCAAAAGCCAGACTTTGCTACATATTCTGATTTCTCAGCCTCCTGTCTGGCCACCGCGCCCCACAGCTTCCCTCGAGAGGAGCGCGGGTTTGCAGAGCAGCACCCTTCCCTCCAGCCTTCCGACTGGCACTTCGCAGCCTCTGAGGCCAGAAGGCGACTAAATCCTGGACTGGCTTTGGGTTCTGGGGAGCTAGAAGGTGGCAGCCCAAACCTGGTGGGTGCTGCGGGGAGTGTGAATGAAGAGTATGGGGTACCAGGCAACAATACTAATGAAACTGAGAAAAAGGCTTCCAGGAGGAAAAAGGAAAACTCAGGTAAGTGACATATCACTGGGGGATGTGGGATAGCAAAATCTCCTTGGCCAGAGCACCCATTAAATTCCACAGCAGAGAAATTAGAAAAAGAAACCCGAGAGAATTATGTTTGAGAATTCGTGTCTAGGGAAAAGGTGTAGCTGGCCATATGGGACACTAACACTGAAACTAAATTGTTTTCTGTTTGATGCTTCCTGGTGTGTTTTTCCAAATCTTGCTGCCAAAACTAGCTACTTCCTTCATACTCATGATGTAGCCTTTTTGTGTGTGAAAGAATCACATGGTGTTCTGCACATGGAGCTCACAGCTCTCCAACACATAATCTATGGCTCGGCTGCCATTTGTCTCAGTGTGAAGTGATGGGAGTCAAAGGGCAAAGCAGCCTGGGATAGTGTGTCACAAATCTCAACTCTAAACTAGTTAGCAATTACTATTACTAATGTATTAAGAAGTTAGAAGAGGGTCAAGGCAATCAAGAGTAGTTCAGACATAGCTGGGAATAAACAGCAGCCAGCTCCCACTCCCTGACTTTTAAAGAGGTGAAATTAGAAAGGCAAAAGATGACTGGCTTGTTAAATGCATTCTTCTACAGTAGCAGGTGCCCTAGCATTTAGTACAGGCTCTCGGGGGTTACTCATTTTGTTCTTTGATGTTAGGTACCAGCATCTGATGGAAACATTCCAGTTTTACTAACTGTTTGAGAAGGGAATAGCATCTGTATTCACTACAGATCACAAGCTCTGTCTTCTAGTTCCCTACAGCAGTTGCAAATACTCCTTATTGCAGTGTCATTTTGTCATCAGTTTATAGGTAGCCAGATGCATTTAAAGTAGCTTTCAACTTTCTAACATATGAGGTGTCTACTCCTGTCCCCCATGTAGTGTCTAATCCCACTCTCTGTGTTGATCTGACTGAGTTTGAATACACTCAACTCAAATCCAAAATCAAAGCTTCTTTTAGCAGCTCACCCATCAGACAAGTCACCAGCATGCTTTGTCCTCAGCTGTAGAGAGAATGATACATACAGTTGAATTGCACTGTTTTACCTAGGAAAAACGAGTTATTTCTACACCCTAGACTCTCACAGCCAGGTAGCTGCTGACTTGCTGTTATCGTACTTGTTCATCAGTGTTAAATACAGAAATTGAGATAAAGGTGGGGGGGTTTGCAAGGAAGCTGTCACTTGGGGTTTTTTTATGCAGCTTTTCCTAACTATAGGATCTGTACACCTCACAAACTGTGACTAATTTATCTTCAGAGCATGCATATAAGAGACAACTGAAGCACAAAAAATGAAATGATTTCTCCAAGCTCCCATATGTTATTCATAGCAGAGCTACGAATTCATTCCAGATCTCCTGAGTCTCTGCCTTGCACTTAAACAAGAGAATATTTTCCCTCTCTCTCTCTGTCCACTATTAACCCTAATAGCTGATTATGATTGTCTCCCATTTCTGTTTCCCCCTCGACACTGTCAGGCTGTCGGTGCATATCTGAAACATCTAGTAATGCAACCCTTTCTTTGTTCCAGAGTCCAAGTTATTCCCTTTCATGCATTTATGATCTCTTGAAACCCAGGTAGAATTTATGACCATCCACAGCTGCACTCCCTCTCCGTCTCCCTCTTCCTCCCAACACCGCCCCCCACCCTCACCAAAAAAAATAACCCTTACAGAAGAATCCTTACAGAACAATGTTATTGTAGTGTTGGGGTGATGTTGTAGGTGTCCAGGAAATATGTGAGAGGCCTGGATACCCCAGCTACATGACTGCGTTAGTTTTAGACAAGCTTTCAAATGATGGTATTCTTGGGTAAAACCATCCCGACCGTGCAGTTTGTTCAATGATAGATATCACCCTCCAAAATCTTTGCTTCCCTACAGAGCAATAAAATTTTAAGTTATTAAATTCTTAGCAATTCATGAGCTGGTGGGAGATCTCACTCCAATCACATTAACAGGGCACAGTTAGCAAATTGAGAATATTCCAAAGCATGTGCCCATGTGTTAAATGGAAAACAAATGGTCCTTGGCACCTTTTACTTGCTTACTGCTGTGAGCAGCCTTGACACTCTTTTCCCCCACTCGCTGCCTGCACACCTGTCATTACAGGGGAACTATAAACAACAATGCCATACATGATATCACTGAAATACAAATTGATTTCCTGCTTCCTGACCAACTGTTACTTTCATTAGTCTGTTTTCTCTAGTTTAACACTTTGCACAGACTGTGTCCCAAAATGTGATCCCAATATTTCTTTCATTTCACTCATTTGTCTGCTAATAATATAACAGAATTGCACAGTATCACTCCTGCAACGGTTTTCACTCCCAAATAAAAAAGAACAAACAAAAAATATCGCATGGCTTCAACCATTCTGATTTCCTGAAACCTTTCTCCAGTTCCTTGAAAATGCAACCAGATGCACATCAGTAGCTTGTTGTAAGTGGAACACACTTCCTCTGACTCCTCCTGAGAATTGGCTCTAGGTTGCTTTAGCAAGTCTAAGCAGCTAAAAAACTGCTCTCTTCAGAGAGGTTAATAGTTGTTAGTAAAATGAAGCCACAAATTATCTATTGCTTTCAGACAGTTCTGGAAGATAAAGTCCCATTCCAAAGAGCTATATGCCAGTGTCTTACCAGATGCTGTTGTTCCTGAACTATAGCCCAGCCAAAGTATTACAATGACTTATTCTGGTATAAAATATTGTAGTTTATTCTCAGCCCATATTCCTCAAAGAATATGCAATATTCAGGATGAGGCTGTTTGTTAATATGGTACCCCAAGAAGAGTCTAAAAGTAATATACTTCTGTGATCAACAGGGAGTTCTATAAAGCCTTGTCAGTGTAAGAGAAAGACTTTTGCTTAATCACTGAATTCTTCATTAATGTGCTGTAATATTTAAACTTGTTTATACAAATGCCTATTAACATAATCGTTACAGAACAGTAATGTGTGCAAATATTTGTATACTTCACACACACACACACACACGCACTTCTTTTCTACAGACTCTCATTACTGAGGGCTACGACTAGCCCTGGACTGACATCCCAGATGGACCTTTTATTAACTCAAGACGGAAGTTGAGCTACTGTTTGTTTTCACAGCTACTGCTGCATCTGTTCTCAAGCTCATCAATATTTTCACTGTTTGTTTTCATACATTTTTGCAGATACTCAGTATTGTGCGGCCTTATAAATCACATAAAAAAACTGGCACTAACACAGTGTCTTGCAATTACTAGCATTACAAACACAAAAGGAATTTATAATGACTTGTAACGTATTTATTTTGATTTTTACATATGATCAAGTAACCATTTGCATTAAGGAAATAACTCCACAGCAATGAAACAAACTCTAAAATATAAAATGAGAAATGGTATGATGTCAAGGAGTTCAAAGACCCTGCAGGTACAGACTATAAACGACCTGGACAGGTTACATGCCATCAGCACCCAAGCAAGCTTTGAATATATCTTTTGTAATCTTTTGGACTTTCTAGGTGAAACATTTTATAAATGAAAGCATAGCAGAAGACACCTCCAGCTGCATTTTTTTCTCCATTTACACAAACATTTACAAGCATAACTAGGAATCCCAGAAGAAACCCAATTCATTCAAATAGTCTTGAATAGTTCATTTTTCCTACCATTTAATAAGGTAAAGAATTGAGGAGTGAAAACCAGTCACATTGGGTGAAATTTGGTCCTTCTATGCATCTATGAATAAATACAAAATATCTATGACTGGAGCATCCACCAGTAAATATATAACTGAACAAAACATCCGATCCATTGATTTACATAAGTGAAACCATGTAGTAGTTAAAGGGAAATATGGTGGGAATGAGATACAGACTATAGCATGTAAAGATTAATAACACTTTATATTCACGTA